AAAAATAATAGGTAAAAAACGTACACATACGTTATGATTGAACAAGCCAATAAAATACAGTTTACTGTTAAGGAACAAGTCTAGGCTTATCCCTCTCATCCACCAGAGTGACCACAAGGAGATTGGAAGTTTTCAATTAACCCAAGTTCAGCATTACATCGAAATCCTAAACTGTGGCTAATATATGGTTTATTGAAACAATCCAGATTCAAAAACCAAGGCTTGGAGACTAATCACGGTTCGTTTGAATTTTGATTAATCATCCTAAGGCAGTTCAACAAAAGTTGAAGTGAAACCTTACTATCCCCTTTTTCTGGCCACACAAAAGGCTAGAAAGAGCATGAGCTTGACCTAAGTTTATTCCCATAATGATAAAACATATCTTATCCTTATGTAATAATTCATCCCTATGGCATTTAGGAATTTTGGTGACAAACCGCAAACTGTAAAGCAAAGGAAAAATCTTGGTTGCAGCTAGTGATTTGTCTGGAGAGAGGTAAAACATTAAACTAAGAGAAGCTTCATCCTTCAGAATAAATTAACAGATCACACAGCATAAAAGCATTCAAGAATCACAAAGAGCCATTTAGAACACAAAGGATGAATCACACCTTTAAAAAAAATAAGAAAACAGAGACTAAATATAGCAAAAAATAAGACTGTGCTAAGGTGCAAGAATTGGAGCTTTTCAGGGCAAGAGAATTAATACAGATGTTTTGTATCTCTGGAACTTAGAAAGTTCTCTTATACTATGTCAGACTAGCTCAGTATTGTTTACATCAGGGGTAGTCAACATGGTGCCCTCCAGATGTCCCTGAACTACAGTACCCATCAGCCTTAGCCAGCATGGCAAATGACCAGGGCTGCAGTCCCAACAACACCCAGAGGGCATTGGCTATCCCTGTTCTACAATGACTAGTAACACCCCACTACCCGTGTATCATAGAGGCCAGGGTGGGGAACCTCCTGCTGTGGGCTGAATTTAAGCCCACTAGGCTGTTCCTCAAACCGTGCTCAACCTGCCTCATATTCGATGTCAAACATGGTCAGGTGAGGACAGGTAAATACGTGGCTGCATGACTGACTGCCACGTGGTGAACTCAGTCACGCAGCCTGTCCCTGCAGAAAGCAGGGCTAGACTTACTGCCTAGCAGATGGGCTGCTTGATCAACTGTAATGGATTGGGCCATGCACCAAGCTCTTTGTGGGAAACTTCATTGTGCAGCTGATCCCTGGATGGTGAGTTCACCCCTGCTGGATTGGCTGTGTGCTGAGTTCGCTGTGGATAATTTCCACTATCCCTGGCCCCGCAATTTGCTGCTCTAATTGGCTGCTGCTTTGGCACACTTTTTAAAAAATAGGTCTTGTCTGCTTCGGAATAATGATGTCATCATTATGATGTCTATGACCATAATAAAGATTTGGATTGGATTGGATGTCATCGCATAGCCAACCATGATTAGCCAAATGACAATGTCACTGAGGGCAAGCAAAGCTGATTTAGTATTAAAGGAACAGTAGATTAAGACTGCAAAGTACTGCTTTTTTGGTAAGGGATCACAGGTGCATTCCCAGGGTGCAAACACTTTCCTGCTCCCACCCACAAGTGACAAAAGGTGGAATGTTTTTCATGGGTGAGGGCAGAAAATGTTGGCCAACACATCCCTCCAATTGGCTGAGTCATTCTGTCATCTTTTAAGCTGAAAAGATTGATAAATTTGACATAAGGTGTATTTTATTTACTTACATCGGTCTGAACCATTTGTTGGCGTTGATTGCGGATTCTTGCCACAAACTCAAAAACGTCAACTTTTTGCTCGACATGCATCATGTCAATCATAGCATCGATTACTATGAATGTGCCTGTACGACCCACACCAGCACTTAAGAAGAAAGGAAACGCAACAGGAATTAGGAGGAAAATGATGAAACATATTGCAGTAACTTTTTTGGACTTGGCAATCCTTCTGAAGTCTTACTCCCAGTATTTCTGATTTTCTTTGTCCTTCTTACTTATATTGCAAGCACTATGACAGGTCAGAGCAGACTCTCTCCACTATGTTTAGTGGCAGTATCAACACCTCCTGCATTCAGTTTATTGTGAGACAGGACCCCCTATTTAGGCAATGCTTCCTTTTTAACAACACAGGAGTAGGGATCGCCAAGCAATCCCACCCTCCGTGTTTATGTAAAAAACATGTGTGGGTCCTTTGCAAATATGGCTGCATGCTCAAAGGCTTTCTCGCAACCTGGAATCCTGCCCAGTTGTGAGACAGTCTTTTTCCAAAGGTCCCAAGGCAACAGGGTTTCATTCTTTGTCCAGGGCTACTTCGCATTGGTTTGGGGACTCACAGCAAGAAGCCTGAATGAACCTGAATAAATCTAAGTTGGGATAGAAACCCAAAGTAACTCAGATTCAAGTATCCATTGGACCATACCCATAAATAATCTTGAATCTACTTCCTGCTGCTTATGGCCAAACTACATAATGTGGGCTTCACTGTGCCTTTAATTGCAAGTGTGCTGTGATCACACATATTGTAGTACAATTTACAGTGACAAAACGGCTGCGTAGGCAGGGGCTACTGAAACCTCCCTGCTGCTTTCTGCTATTCAACCTAGAGCCATCCTCCAGCTGCTGTTCTTCTAGCAGCTGGACTCACTTCGGTATCCATGTGGAAAATAATCCCATGGGATGGGCTAAGGAGGGGAAATCAGGAGGTAAAACAAGGGTTCCCTCCATCACCCACTCTTTTCACTTTAAGACACACTTTGCACATCCCCAAGTTAACTACTTTAGGATCTTGAACTTGAGACTCACCTTTTATTTTTAACTAGCACCTTATGCTGGCCTTATGAAGAGATAAGTACAGTCTTACCTTGGATCCTAAACGCCTTGCGAGTCGAATGTTTTGGCTCCCAAACGCCGCAAACCTGGAAGTGAGTCTTCCGGTTTGTGAACGTTTTTTGGAACCCGAACGTCCGACGTGGCTTCCGATTGGCTGCAAGCGCTTCCTGCAGCCAATCAGAAGCTGTGCCTTGGTTTCTGAACATTTTGGAAGTCAAACGGACTTCCAGAATGATTCTGTTCGACTTCTGAGGTAACACTGTATACTGAATCGAATTCTAAAATACCATTTTGACACCAATATGAACATCAGATATAAAAATGTATGGTATTGATCTACTGTGAAATGCTAAAATACTGTCCTAGTGTTTAATAGCACAACCACTAGAGGGGGCATGGTTGCTACTGATTACTGATAACTCAAATGATTTTCAGCCTTCCTTTCAGAGGAAAAGGGCCTGGCATCCTGTGCTAGGCATAAATGTTCCTCTGGTATCCTATTATTTTATTTTGGTCTGTTGTTCTTGTGATGTCATATTCCAGCTTTCTAAATCATAACTTATTTCCCTTTCCCATTTATTATATATACACACACAAAAGTTTATCAGCGATACCACTTCTTCTAAGCATCCTGGTACAAGTTGTACAAAGAGCATTTTTACATTTTGATTGGGCGCTGATTACTTTCAAGTGTGGTTTAAGAATGCATGAATCACCCATGCTTCCTCCTCCATCAGACTCAAACTGCCTTCCCCTACCTCCTTCATGGTACTGGTAGCTACATAGACTGCTAAGAATACAACTACATTACTACAAAGAGCTTGTTCCTTTTCCTGTTCCATTGCTATCCTTTTTCTCTTCTGTGCCATATCTAAGCTTGCGGCAGTGACTGTATTGTTTTCTTAACCTAGAAAACTGCTGGTGCTTTATGAATATATTTATGCTGATAGTAAAGTTTTGAATGATGGGCTATTTTTAAAATTGTAAAAAAGATTCCTGAAGGGAGATTTGCACAAGCTTATCTTGGCATAAGTCACAACAAATGGTCCGTCTCTCAAAATGGAAAAGGGGACAAATTAATCCCTGCTGATGAATAACTAAGGAGAAACCTTTGCTTTTTTTCCACAGGTGATACAATACGGATAATAATCATCATCAAGAAGAAGCCAGTTTCCTGATACTAGTTCGGATGTTGGCTTGTTCTGCTTTTTCTCAGAGACCCTAGTAGGAAAAGCCCACATTAAGGAGGCACTTGTTGCTTAAGCATGCAAAAATTGATTTTGCCCACTTCCTGTTAGGCCACCCCAAGGTAATTTTTCATGGGTATGTGTGTGTATCTGCATATTTATACATACACATACCTGCAGTGAACCACAATTGGTCCAGCATGTGCAGGATTCAATGATTTTACTTTCTTTAGGAATTTGAGCATTCCAATAGGTGTGAAAGGCACTCCAAAATCAGGCCAGCTGGTGAAATGAAGCTGTGTCACAAGCCTGGGAGCTTTGCAGCCATCAGAAACCTGCTAGAGAGCCAGAAACAAAATATGAGTATGACCATTTATTTCTTTGGCTAAAATCGGCAAACAATCCAGTTAGCGTGACCGACCCCTCCCTCTTCAGACATCAGCGGTAGCAGCCTAGTGTAAGAATTCATTTAAAATGTTCAGTATATAAAGAGAATTACAGAGTTACTCAGCTGCCAGCAAAAAGCATAAAGGTAAAGGTACCCCTGCCCGTACGGGCCAGTCTTGACAGACTCTAGGGTTGTGCGCCCATCTCACTCTATAGGCCGGGGGCCAGCGCTGTCCGAAGACACTTCCGGATCACGTGGCCAGCGTGACAAGCTGCATCTGGTGAGCCAGCGCAGCACACGGAACGCCGTTTACCTTCCCGCCAGTAAGCGGTCCCTATTTATCTACTTGCACCCGGGGGTGCTTTCGAACTGCTAGGTTGGCAGGCGCTGGGAGCGAACGACGGGAGCGCACCCCGCCGCGGGGATTCGAACCGCCGACCATGCGATCGGCAAGTCCTAGGCACTGAGGTTTTACCCACAGCTCCACCCGCGTCCCTTAGCAAAAAGCATAGAAACTGCAAATTAAAGCATGTGCCTTAATGGCCTCACTTTGTAAGTCATAAGCGCATTCCATGACCTTGCATGTTGTGCTCACTTAAAACTTAGTATTCAGGCACCCACATTTCCCCTTCTTTCGGCAAAAGTTCTTGTGGGGACACTAACCTGTAAGCACCCTTGAGACTGGCAAGTGGATGGGGAACGATTTACCCCAATTGGAACTAGAGACACTTCCCTCCCAAAAGAAGCTTCAGAGAACAGAGAGCTACTAGAGCCTTCGGTGTTTAATGGCAACATGAAAACAAAAACTACATGCAGAATGCCAAATGAAATCTCACTTCGGGCACAGTTTAATAACATGTAAGTATTGAGTAGAGCTAAGTTTTCATGTCACAAAAACAGTTTTCACTCAACAAAAACAGACAATTCCAAGTACGTATTTTAGAGGTAAAAATAGATTTTCCAATTATGAGAAATATTAAATGGGGTCTATCACTTACTGACTGAATACAAAACTTCCGAATAGTATAATCCACAAGAACTATACAGTCCTCCACAGAAACTCGGATGTTTCCATAAGTCCAGCATCCCTGATCAGGCCAGTACTGGAAACACTTGTCCTGTGCAAATGTAAAGAACACACACAGTCACTTCAAGCTGCAATATATGCCCCTCAGATAACTGAGCTGTACTATAAAGCTGTACAATTATTTTGAGTCTATTTAAAGTATGCTTTTTAAAATTCTAAAACTGAAACTGACACCGCCTAACTATATTAATAGTGAGTTATGAAATATCATAGGACCAAAAATTCATTAAGGTATGACTTCACCCCCCTCTGATTTCTAAAAGCCCGTTTCTCCAGGTTGCAGGATACAATAATTTCAATCCAGAGCCATTTGTAGCCAATGGTTACATGACATTCTTTTAAAAATCTATACTGCATACAATGAGAGAATTGTTGAGAACTCTGTCAACATTTCTCTATGAATGCCAGGAGAGGTCATCCTTGAGCAATAAAAGTTGCATGCTTCTCAGTGACCGAGATATATTTATTTTATTAGCATCTGTATTGGAATTGCCTTTAGATGTTTTTCTTGTCTTACTGCTTGGGTTTGCCACCTTGGGCTCTTTGGGAGGAAGAGTGGGGTATAAATTTAAATATTATTACTATTATTATTTTCTGCTTTCCAAACACACCTTATTCACTTTTAATTAGCTACCTAAAAAGCGCAACAGGAAATGAATATGCACACGAATACGCTCCAGCCATCATCTTCTACCCTGTTGCAGACGTGCTGGGAAATTTCATATTGTATTTTATGAAATCAGTTTTATTCTAGGAACTAGTAATTGGGCTGGAAGGTAAGCTGGAGCCTGAAATTCCATCTAGCATTCCGGGAAAGACAACGAAATTTGGCAGTGAATTAGGGAAGAGAAAAACGCAGTCAAACAATTCTCAGCCACTCCCGCCCCCCACAACACATGGCTACTAGTCATAATAACTATGCTGTGCCCCCAACACTGGAGGCAGTAATGTTTCTGAATACCAGTTGCTGGAAATTGCAGGAGGGAAGAGTGTTCTTGTGTTCTAGTCCTGCTTGAAGGTTTCCCACAGGCATCTGACTGGCCACTGTGGGAACAGGATGCTGGACTAGATGGGCCATTGGCCTGATCCAGCAGGCTCTTCTTAACTTCTTACACAAATTACTATCTTAAAAGACGTTTTCATAACCCTATGCAAGTGTATATTCTCAGGTGGAAAATAGATGCAGAATAAATAATAGATATTTTCCTACCAATGAAAACTATGTACAGCGGACGCTCGGGTTGCGAATGTGATCTGTGCGGGATGCACGTTTGCAACCCGCAGTGACGCGTCTGCGCACGCGAGTTGCAATTCGGAGCTTCTGCGCATGCGCAAAGTGTGAATTAGCACTTCTGCACATGCGCGACCACCGAAACCCAGAAGTAACCCGTTTCGGTACTTCTGGGTTTCGGCGGTCTGCAACCCAAAAAAACGCAACCTGAAGCGTCTGTAACCCGAGGTATGACTATATCTCTAAAGGTAATTCACAACTGCCATAAACCAGGGATAAAGCCCAAACATTCACATTTGACTGAAAACATGATTCAGAAATGACACACAAACACCATTAAGTTTCTCAGTTAGTCACCAATTATTTGCTCAGAAGTAAAGAAAGTTTAGTTAAGCCAGCATGCTGCAGCGATTGTGTCAGAAACCCAAGACTTATTAAAGAACTCGGAACAGGAAGTGGTAACATTAGTAACAGTCTTGTGAGTTATGGGAAAACTCCAAACAGTATGAGGGGAAATATTTTTAAAATGTGTCCTACCTCTTTTCTCTCTTTCACATTTGTTAACATGACAATAGTTGCAGACTTTTGTTCCCATATCATCCTCCAGAAATCATTTACAGTGTCTTGTTTAGGGCCTACACATACAACACAGCTATTTAATCAAAAACTATGATGAACACAAACAATACTACTGTTAAAAAGGAAAAGGGAAAAAAATATTTATTTCATTTATTTAAAAATATCTCTATCAATAATAACGTTCAAAGCAGTTCACAAGATTTAAAACCAACCAAATAATTCCACAATAAATACTAAAGCAGTAGCAATGCTGCCCAGAAGCAAAATTGTCAAGCAAAAGCCCAGGGAAATAAAATGGTCTTCATCTAGCACCTAAATAATGCTAGCATATGTGTCATGCAAACAAATGTAGACAGGCTATCCAAAGAGGCAGCAAAGGTCCTGTCTAACCTCAGAAGATAGGGCACTCAGTGCAGGGCCTCCAAATATGATGTAATGGGTAACTTCATAGAGGACAAGGCTGCACTTTCATTAGATGGAAATGGTCTGATAACAAATCCATGTGCTTCCCATATTTACTGTATGTTTAAAGCAGAGCTATGCATCTTAATGTAGTCTCGTAATCTGGGGAACCGGGTTCGCGTCTCCGCTCCTCCACACGCAGCTGCTGGGTGACCTTGGGCCAGTCACACTTCTGTGAAGTCTCTCAGCCCCACTCACCTCACAGAGTGTTTGTTGTGGGGGAGGAAGGGAAAGGAGAATGTTAGCCGCTTTGAGACTCCTGAAGGGGAGTGAAAGGCGGGATATCAAATCCAAACTCTTCTTCTTCTTCTTCTTAATGCAGCTTATTAAAAATAGCATTTCTCACAAAATAGAGATATCTGATTCTAGTTCATAGGAGGAATGATGTCATTGTGACCATGCTATCTTTCATTGTCTAAAATCTCCCTTTCCTTTCATTTTGGCTTGGGGTGCTTCTAGATGGCAACTTCTCACACAACTGGAGCACCAGCAGGAGATGGGATGGGACGGAACAAGGCAGGGACTTTGTAGAAGATGTATTTCCTCATGTGGAGGGTTGGCAAGGTGGTGGTTGATTTCTCACTACTGTTGCCTGGCTGCTCACACCTTTTCCTGATGTGCTATATAGGGCTCGGCCTTAGGCCTGGCTGCCTGTTGATGTAATTTGGAGAAATGGATGAAATTGCACTAAGTGCTTAGTCCATGTCTTGAGCAGCCCATCCTTCACGTCTGGGTTCTGTTCAGAGTTAGCACGCCAGCTGCAATGGGTGGCTTAGAAACAGTCCAAGGCTAAATGCCTGGAGCAGGACTACTCACCTACCCTCCTACCCTTTTCTCTAAGGAATGTGTGAACATGCAGAGGTGGGTATATAGCCAAAGCTGTATTCAAAAAGCTCTTTAAAATCTGACTGCCTAAGCATAAGGGTAAATTCTGAAGAACACATTTGCTGAAATTGCTTTGTACATGCAGATGTTTAAAGCAAAACATTTAAAAAGAGAAATGGATGGAATAATGGAGATACCTTGAGCTGCTATAAATTTATTCTTTTCCTTGTAGCCCTGGAGGAGAAAAATGTACACAGTTGTCTTTTAAACTTATGCTCTTACAATATGAATTTCAAAACTGTCAATGTGCTGCTTGCTTTAAAAACTTAAAAAGTAATTTAAAAAGAAATCTATTCACTTACATCTATATATGAAGCATTGATGTAGTCTGAACACTGAAGTCCACCTATTTGCGTTAAAACTACCCTGGAATGGTCGTCTGTAAAGAACAAACATACACTATTAGAAGCTCCTTTGGCAAATATAGATACAGTGCTGACAACCTTCTGAAACACATTGTTTTCTTCTCAGCAAACAAAACAAAACAAACTCTAAAAACATTATTCTGCCTGATGAATACCTTAAGCCAATAGCAACACCATTTGATTTATTAAATTTGTATACCACCCTTCATCCGAATATCCCAGGACAGTTCACAACACAAAAATGCAAAATGAGAATACATAATAAATACAAAACAAAACAAAAACCATTAATGAGACCATGAAACAAAATCAAATTTACTGATGAATTCTACTTCAGCAGTTTCACTCCGCGGTCCACTTTTAAAGTTCCTTTCTCAAAGAATATTAACATTAAGTTTTCATCTAAGACTAAAATATCATCTCACTGTTTCGGAATGCAGCCATTTCTATTGTCAAATATTTGTCCATTTATAATTTTAATGTAGAGACTGACCTGTTTGTCTTACGCAGACAGAAGAAGGGCAGGTTAGAAGTGATACTTGTCAGGAATCAGCATATGAACAGTCTTAATATGGCTGATGCTATTATTGTTGCCTCCAGCAGCAGCCAGCTAAAACCATGCCAATGTATCATCAGTGATGTACACCCATCCTAAACAATTATATTTCTCTCTCACAGGCCTGGGGTGACAGGCCTTCCCTTGTTTACATTCAGCCCCTCGTGTAAAAAGGTGACCCAGCCTAAGGGAGAGACAGAAGCCCTGGGACAAGGCACTGCTACAAACCCTGATACCAGCTCTGTCCCCAAATGCACTCAGGCAAAACTGTTACAGGACCTAATGGCATCAGATAAACACCAACAGGAATTCATTCATGTGCAGTCACCCTATTCTCTTGACTGTAATTTATTTTAAATTGATTTTAATATTGTACTTTTAAATTGCTGCAGGTCATCTGAGGCCTTATGATGAAGGGCAAGAAAGAAATCAAAGCAACGACTGTCATCCTGGTATCACCTACCAACAAGGACAAAGCTGAAGGAGAACTCAGGAAGTTTGAGTCCATTTATTTAGACCGTAATCAAACCATAATGGTTACCTCCCCAGTTATATCTGCTTAGCAAAGGTTAGAAAAAACCATGTTATCAGTGTTGTGAATTGTCAATGTGATTATCTTAAATATGCAGAGCTGACCCGCCCATGACGCGGGGTGAAGAGCCCACCTCAGGTGGCAGAAGTACCTGCTTGTGCCGCCAATAGGGAGGTGTTCTGGCATGTGACGTTGCCAAACAAGTGGCAAAACTTTGAGGAGTGCCCTGGCTTCCACCAAGTTTGGTGAGAGGTGGGAGTGGTGATGGCGGAAGTGGAGGAGGGGGAGAGGAGGCAATTCCTGTTTTGCCTCAGGTAGCAAAATGGGACAGGTCTCCACTGTAAATACGTTTAAGCTTAACACACAACAGTCACTGTACATCTTGGTCATTTGGCCGAAATGTTTACTATTTTTCACTTTATCCATGCACATTTGTATCTGCCAACTGAGAATAGTACCAATGCATGCATCTGTTGAAGGAGACTCTAGTCGATAAAAGCTAGGGCTAAAGCTTGTAGCCTTTAGATGCCACAATACTGTTGTTTCTTTCTGCAACAGATTAACATGGGTACTTGCATGGAAAACACTATTACTTTAATAAGAATTTGGTCCTTCCTAATATAAACCTTATTATTTATAATAAATCAACAAATCATTAATACTTACAAGGTAGTATGTTGGGATATCTGTTCTTTTCTCTGTTTTCCTCTTTATTTGCCATCTCAAGTGTTCCTTGCATATATCCAGGAGGTAATGACTACAGAAAAAATATGTGGTGTCGGTTCAAAACAACATACTATAGTGAGTAGTTACATAGAGGAGATGGTTTAAGTAAAACAGCTGTATCCCATGTAGCTCAATAATGCCCACATGAAAAGGTTAACAAAATTCTTTGAATCCATCAACCCCAGGAATAAGTTCCAGTTTCAAAGAAAGATGAGTGTTTGTTGTTTGCACTGGCAACTTGAAATAACAATCTCAAAATGACTCATGTAGTGACCACGCCATTAAGAACTGAAGCATAAAACATTGAAAATGTACAGGATTATCGAGTATGGATGAAGGACTCAAAATCCCAGTTATGTGAATCCAAAATAAGAAGTTCAAAATATGCAAGGACAATCAAAGTGTGTGTGTGATATGATTAGCTTAACATCCTATGTTTTTAGAAATCTATTTCAATCCACATATAAATGCTCATTAGAAACTATAATGACTATAAACTTTTAAAGTTTTTAAAGAAGATATGTCTGCATAGAAATCCAGGTTCCAAATCCACACCAGGACCTTGTGCTTGTAATTTGTGGAAGAAAACTTGCACTCACTTACAATTTAAGTGACACATGTAGTTTGCGCCTTAGACATGCCCATCAAATACATAACATACCATCTGACCATCAACGCCAGAAGGCAGCGTTGATATTCACTAGGTTCATGTCCCAATCAATTAGGGCAGAAATGCACCTGGAGGCATGCTTCTATGAACAGATTTCCAGCTGCACTGGAAAGTGTGCACACCTGTACCACAATATATCCTTGGAGTCAAATCATTCAATCCCAGTAGGAATAAATACACTCTCTCTCAAGCCAGTAGTAACATGCAACACCTTGTTATACATCACTCTATCCGGACCAGGACTTCCGTGTTTTAAAATAGGGTTTCATGTAGTTTGCATTACTACATTTAAAATAGGTACATTGGTACATTCTTATGTAATAAACATAATTAGTGAAGGAGAAGAAGTTTTTTTTACTATGGAATCACCTAATATATTTAGGAGATCCACACTGTGCCAAGGCATCAGGATGTATTTAATTATTATTATTTATGATTTATTTATTTATAGACATGCAAAGATAAAACATTTAATTGACAGAGATGCACTATTACTTTTAAAAGGGCACATTTTCATAATCATAATAAAAACTGCTGACATGCAATCCTGACAAATATAGCCTCCTCCTATATTATAGCACTGCTGCATAACAGAGACGGTTTAATTGGCATTTGCTTTTTCACTTAGATGAACTCAAATCTAAACTAATGCTGTTCCTTCATTGCCATGGCTGCATCTATGAGACCTGATGTAAGGAGTAAGTTCAGCTTCACAGAACTGTTCATATGAGGTCAGAGAGCAAACCCAACATAGTATGTTCCTTTCTGCTAGTGAGTGAGCAGCCAGGAAAAAGAAACCCTTTCTGTATGCAACCACAATGTAGCAGGAAGCAAAAGAGCAAACTGCTTTACTGAACGAGGTGACGATCGAATTTACAAGAAACCTTCAGCACCATTAAAAACAGATATTTAGGGACTACTGCTAATAGGGAGCCAGAACTTGGGGGAAAGGTTCCTGAGTAGCAACATACTCTCCTCTATGGGTTGTTAACAACAGATTAACAACATGCCTCTGCTTCCTCAAAATTGTCATATATTTTTTAATCGGTAGGAAGGTCAGGATATCACAGGTCACTGATTCGAAGGGGAAAGCTGTAGACTTCCCTAAGTATCTGAGAAGCTTCAGTTCTCATATAATCATAGAATCATAGAGTTGGAAGAGACCACAAGGGCCATCGAGTCCAACCCCCTGCCAAGCAGGAAACACCATCAGAGCACTCCTGACATATGGTTGTCAAGCCTCTGCTTAAAGACCTCCAGAGACGGAGACTCCACCACACTCCTTGGCAGCAAATTCCACTGTCGAACAGCTCTTACTGTCAGGAAGTTCTTCCTAATGTTTAGGTGGAATCTGCTTTCTTGTAGTTTGGATCCATTGCTCCGTGTCCGCTTCTCTGGAGCAGCAGAAAACAACCTTTCTCCCTCCTCTATGTGACATCCTTTTATATATTTGAACATGGCTATCATATCACCCCTTAACCTCCTCTTCTCCAGGCTAAACATGCCCAGCTCCCTTAGCCGTTCCTCATAAGGCATCGTTTCCAGGCCTTTGACCATTTTGGTTGCCCTCCTCTGGACACGTTCCAGTTTGTCAGTGTCCTTCTTGAACTGTGGTGCCCAGAACTGGACACAGTACTCCAGGTGAGGTCTGACCAGAGCAGAATACAGTGGCACTATTACTTCCCTTGATCTAGATGCTATACTCCTATTGATGCAGCCCAGAACTGCATTGGCTTTTTTAGCTGCCACGTCACACTGTTGGCTCATGTCAAGTTTGTGGTCAACCAAGACTCCTAGATCCTTTTCACATGTACTGCTCTCAAGCCAGGTGTCACCCATCTTGTATTTGTGCCTCTCATTTTTTTTGCCCAAGTGCAATACTTTACATTTCTCCCTGTTAAAGTTCATCTTGTTTGTTTTGGCCCAGTTCTCTAATCTGTCAAGGTCGTTTTGAAGTGTGATCCTGTCCTCTGGGGTGTTAGTTCTCTCCACATCCCATTCGCCAAGCGGCAAATAACAGCACAATGATGCACAGTTGCTACCACAATTCAGGCCTCAGCAAGATTCATGGATTTTCGGCACCTACCCATATGCCTGCACACTATTCTGAGTTGTGGGATAGCTTGGTGATTATTTATCTCTTTTCTCCATAATAACCAGTTGCTAATCCCCATTTCTTGCAACAAGGCACTGTGGAGTGGGAAACTCCATAGCTTTTAAGGCAAAGGTCAGAATGTTTGATAGGAGGTAGGATTTCGGAAAGTTGTGGCACACGGGACAGAATGTTGCTCAGATATGTAAGTATTGGGAGAAACTCCCTAGGTTTGGAGAATATGAACACCACTAAGAAATGACATTGCTTTTTCTGCCTTTCCCCCTTCTTCAGTATTTCTACAGGAGAGAATCGCCAAGGCCCTTAATTGTTTATGCTGTAGCACAGTGGCTCTGTGTGTGCTGGAACTGCTGTACTGGAACTTGGCACATGAGAACCTGGAGGGGTGGCTAAATGACCAGTCAGGATGGGCAGACTGGAAGCAAAGCTGCCCTGAACCTGAACCAGCCAGGTGGAGTAAAACTATGATGGTGTTTGCTCAATAGAGGCACCCTGCAGAACTCCTCCCATCCCCCAATATAGCTGGCAAGGAGCCTTATAAACTATCAGTGTGAATGGAAGACCTACTTATTCACCCAGCCTTTTGGTTGAATGCTGCACTTTGCAAACAGGTGTTTTAACTACCTATGTGTTCTTTCCTGCTTTGTTGTTTATTGACAGCTGGACTGTATAACTCTATTGTGTTTTTTTATTGGCACTATATTCCTCTTCAGGATTATTTTGCATGAGATAAGTTGATAAAAGGAAACATAGTTAAGCACACAGGAGCTGAGAATGAAGAGCCATTTTGAGTTCAGGCACAGCACAGATTGTAAATAGAATACAAGGCCAGCCCCCCGCATGGCTTCACTGGCAAACCTGGTCATGCCTCAGCAAGATTTTTAATGTTTCTAAATGGCACGGTATCAAAAAGGAATGATGGTAAGGTTTACATAGTACAGGCCCATACCTTAGCCTGAAACAAATGCCAACTGATGCACACATGTAAATTTTAAACATGAGGTCCTACACCTTTTCTTCTTTTAGAGGAAGAGTAGCAGGGGGAGCCCAGGCAGATTAGCAGGGTATAAAAAATAAAATAAAATAAAAGTATTACACACAATTTGTTACCTGTATTTGCTGTGTCTTTGAAGAAAACACAACATTAAATACAAAATATGAAGACTTACATTAAACTCCTCCCGAAACAACTTCCCATCATCAGCTGCTCTTATCCGTATTTCATGTTCCAGATGTTCCACTGGAATAGGAAAATACTTTTTTGGGCCAGAAGGAGACCTTCTGAGAAGCATCTGTTGTTCTGCTGGATAGGATGCCAACATAATATATATTATTACATATGGTATGAATAATGACACTGCAGTTCAAATGTTCATTTAGAATCCCCTGCTCACCAAAAGAATGCTAAGGAAGAATTTTATCTTCAACTCTGAGGTGTATTCCTAAAATGATGATTTGGGAGGGGTGGAGTTGGGGTGGATGAAAGCTTCACCAATAGGAGCTGGGGTGGGTGGGGAGACTGGGAAACTGGGGACAGACAGTGGGCAGAATGGAAACACATCAAACTCAAGCAATGTGTACAATGCTGTGCAAATTTGACTTGAAACACAGCGGGGGGGGGGGGATCTCACTACGTTTTTAGCCAGCATACTCATAATTAACAGTGAATATCAATGGAGTATTTAGCTGAGAGGAGGGATGTACATTTAATCCTCTTAAAATGCAGAGCAAACCTTTACAATTCCAAAATGGAAACACTTACCATACTTTACACAAGTAAAAATAAATAAATCAAACAGTAAACACTATGCATAAAAGCATACAAAGGGGAGCTGATGAAAACAAAAGCCTCACAGTAACAGCAGGAAAAAGGATGGGACACTGTTGAAAGAGAAGTTTGTCAGTGGAAGCTGCTGGTTTGTTACTTTGTGGTTTTATTTTATAATTTTAATGTACTGTATTTTTCCATCTATAAGACGGAATTTTGGAGGACTCAGATTTAAGAAAATGGGGGAAGATGTATCCGTGTATAAGACACCCCCTAATTTTTGACATTTTAAAGGGAAAAACCTAGTCTTATATACAGAAAAATATGGTAAATTGTACTTGTTTTAACTATGTTGTATAACCTGACTTCGGATCATTTGGTGCTGGGT